CTAGTAGGTTGGCGGCCATCGCTAGTAGGTTGGAGGCCATCGCTAGTGGGTTGGAGGATGCTGGAGGCCATATTTTTCCTCTCCACATTTCTAGTAGTCTTTGTGGCGCGCGACCTGACCTCTCATCTCTTTTCAGGTCATGGAGCGCAAGGCTGGCATGCTGAACCTTCGTGTGCGGAGTGGTGAGACCACTTCAAAGGCTTGGGCCACCCGTGTTCGTCTGTTTGTTTCAATGAAATGGAGGACTCCAAGCATCTGAAATGGAACAGGCACTTAGGAATGCACCTTTCATGGACCGGAGTGCTGCTTTCCTTTCATTTCATTTCATGTCGTAGCGACGAAGTTGGTGAGCATGTTGTCCAGGCCGACCGAATTCACAAAGCTCAAGAGAACTCTCTATTGATTTGTGAACTGGAAGAGCCAGTGCCTTAATTTGGCCATCTATCTTGCTATCAGCGTCTTCTTAAGCTATCTTGAAACAGCAAAAACCAAACAATGAATGTGTCCGAGTCTCCAAAACTTGTGGTGGCTCACATGGTTTCAAGCGCTTCTGTGAGGGAGCACATACTAAATAGGCGGAGCTTTTAACTGACAGAACAAGAAATGACTGATGGTCTGAACAGTTAGCTCCCTTGCCACCGAATTCAGCCCAGACAGTGGACAACAGCCCAGGCTCAGAATCGAGAAGAAGGCACTGATGGCTCAAGCCAAGGACTGCGCAGACACGACGCAACGACTTGATGTGGCTCCATTTCTGCATCAAAGAGGACTTAGAGCTCAGAATCCGTTTGCATCAGCAAAGCGAAGAAGTCCAGGTGTGATTTGTGCTTCCGTGAGATCGTGATGTGTACTTCATGGGACTTCTGTTTGCTTGTTGGGTGCAGAAAGGACAATTTGTTGTATAATCTAATTTCCTTTTTTTAAATCATTTCCTCCCGATTCCGCTTCAGGCGAAGCCAATAGAAGCCTTGCCTAGCAGGTGCGGCCGGCATCAACAAAAGGGACCGAGACTTGTGACAACTGCCATACTAGGTGTACTCCTCCAGATTTCCCATCGAATCTCATTCAGCATTGGCATCAAACACCACGGCAGGCCTTGGATTTTGAACTGGAAGATATCTCTAGACACGGGACACTGTTGTTTCCTCCTTTTGACACCCAAAAGTAAAGCTTTTCCGAAGCTTTTTCTTTTTTGATGGGAATACACCTGTGAGTGACATTGAAGAAAAAAATCAGTGACTCCAAAAAGCTCGAAGGCCACAAACACCTCCCTTGAAGCAGGTCTGGCTCAGAGGCGAAGTCCTCCAAGCAAGCGCTTTGCGATTTGTTTGAGGAGGTGCTGCGAAGCAGATCTGACAGGTCGCAACGGAAGAATAGCTAGCAAAAGGATATCGTTCCACTGGTTGCTCCACATTGTGGAAAATAGACGTGACATAGTAATGACTAGTTGACTAGTTGAAGCCCAAACATGGGTGGACAAAGTGAGAAGATGAACCCGTTCGTGAGCGGCTGTTCGTTTCAAGATGTCTCTTCCACACCAGACTGCTTGTTATTTGGCGCGCTGGTTTTGGAGGCGCCGGAATGCCAGAGGACACCGATGAAGGGGACATTGAAGAAGGCAGGTGTTCTCCGGACGTCCAAAGTCCTTGCCTTCCCTGTGGAGGCCATTGCTATTAGGTGGAGGCCATCGCTATTAGGTGGAGACCATTGCTATTAGTAAATCAAGAATCCTTTATATCCTTTCCTTTCAATTTCAGGGCCATCTCGTCCGGCCGTTGGGCAACACTGAGAAGAGCGGCCACAAGTCACAAGAGGAGCACAGAACTTACCAACAGATGTCCTGAAAAGACGAATGAACAAGTCAACTTGAAAGTCTTCGAGAGCTTTGGGAACAGTTTTTGGGTGTGTATTGGTTGTTGAATCATACCCATGAGATTCCTTTGAGCGCGCTAAGGCTTCGCTCCAAGAAACGCTTCTTGAAGCAGGTGGAGAAGACCAAGATGCAACTGACTGAGCAGAGGCCACGGCTTTCAAACGACACACTATGGCTTGGTACGGCTTTAATTTTGGTTTTGCATGGAGTTTGCGGATTGCAAACAATGTGTCCTCAATACATTTCACTAGCCAAAATGGCATGCCATTTTGGCTCAAGGATCAGAACCCTGATCCATCAAAGATCAAACTTTCGAACTTTTCTGTGGCTGTATCCCACTTGATCTTTTCTGACTCTCGCCGCAATGGCTGACACGCTTTTCGACTTCGAACTTTTGGACTCAGCTGATGACTTCATGGATCTGGACTTGGATCCTATGGAGCAGGAGGTCGCAGCGGCAGAATCAGCCCAGCTTGAGGCCGATCAAGATGAGATGGCCATTTTGGCCGATTACGTGATCCTTTCGGACAAGACCCCTGAGGATCTGGCAAAGGATCTGGAGGCGATGTCTTGCTCCAGGCTACCACAGGGACGGCGGTGGTTGTACACCCACTGACAGTGGCACCTACATCGTCGACCCCTCCATTGGCATCTTCGGACGCTCCTGCAACGGCGGCCTTGGCGCCTCCCAGCGGCTTGGTGAGCTCTACCTCGGCTTCTCCCCCGCCGGCATCTTCCGTGGATGCAGGGTCGGCATCGACGGCACCGAGTAGCCGGAAACGTCCCTTGGATCAGAGCGACAAAGCGGGAGCCCTGGCAGGTGCCTCGGGCCCTGATACTGGGATTCCGTCTGCGGAGTCCTCTGTACCCGGTGCCTTGGTTGGGAGTGGTCATTCTGGAGCCTCAGCAGGTGCTTCATGCCCTGATACTGAGCCTCGTAAGGATGCACCACTCTCCTCAGTGCAAGCATCAGGGGCCCTGTCGCTGTGTGGTAAGCAGCCTGCACCAGCTCCTTCCTCGACTTTACGGACGACCTTGGAGACCCAGGTTCCAGTTGAAGGACGCCTTCAGGATCCTGTGACCTACTCCTTTGCCGAGGACGGGAACATCCTTCTGACCAATGTCATGGCTGGTCTTCCCTGCCTCCCAAAGAAACTGGCGCAACCATAGCGTCCAAGTGGGTGAGATCATTGAGCTTTGCCTCCAGTTTGACGTGACGAAGCTCACCCCGGCAGCCTTTGCTCGCATTGTTGAGGTCTATGCCACTGCCAAGGCCAAGCACCTTGCGCAGGAGATTTGGGAGGCTAAGCGTCTGCCCAAAGGAGCGCGCTCCATGGAGAAGCTGACGACCCTCCCAGAGGTGGAATCCAAGCTGCCCTACATGTGCGCCAACTGTTTCACAAGCTGGGTCCTTCCCAAGTCGCCGAAGTGTCTTCACTGTGGTTCTACGGAGGGGAAGGTTCCAACGGCGCTGCCCTCAGCCTCGGTGACAGTGGATGGCGTCACATGGACTATGGCCTTTGATGCGGACAAGCAGCTCCGTTGGCAGTCCGACTCCTGAGGCAAGGGCAAGTCCAAGACGAAAGACAAAGGCAAGTCGAAGCCAACTTGGCCTTCCTCCTGGGCAACTGCTGCGCCCAATGGAGTCCCGTCTGCCGTGACTTTCACATCAAGAAGACCTGCCAAGGCAACTGTAACCGTTCTCACAACTGCCCAGTCATGAAGGATGGATGGGTCTGCAATGCACCCCTGGGGCAGCATAGCCCCAACAACTACCCACACAAGTGACTAGGCCTGGCATCCACAGATGCTCCAAAGAACCCCACTGCTGGGGCCTGGAAGGTCTGAAGGCATCAGACCAACAGCTTGTGGACGACGACAGCATCTTACTGCTACGTCAAATGGTCCTCACCCACCTCGCCCATCTGGGCAGGGCAAAGCTGAAGTCTCCAGCTCCATGGAACTTCTTGGAGCATCCAGTGGATCCCAAGGACAATAGCATCGCACCGAGTGCTTGGCGATGCAGTTCCATCTGGGCTACCAGAGCCCTACAAACATGCCACTTGTTAGGGAACACCCCGATCACCTTTGACCAGGACAAGTGGTAAAGAAGACGACCACCTGTCCACCAACCTTCATCTACAACATTGGCGCGGCATGGTATGTGACCATGACCCAGATGATCGCAAACAGAGTGACACGCTCACGTCATCGGACCTTAGCAGGTACCCACGAACACCAAACGCGAAGCCGCTTGCCGGGCGCACCGACAGAGCCCTGCTCCGCAGTTGCTTCATGCACTGATAACGGGCCAGGTGCCTCTAAGTAGCCCCGACTGGGGGATACATCCAAGGCGGGCCTCCCAGTTACACCTGGGAACCAACAAGATTGCCAGAAGTTGGCGCAAACACCCAAGGAGGGTCAGCTCTCCCGGGAGGCAGACGGGCCATCAAGACCCATTATGGATCATCCATCCGAGGAAGGGGCCAAACCTCAGAACCCCAACTCCGCCTGCGGTACGTCCCGGGAGAAGGACCCACAACCGGGTCAGACTGGAGGAAGTCCTCCACGTCACGTGGCCCAACGAACGGCCCACAACTGCGCCTGCGGTGCGTCCCGGGAGACGAGCACCTCACCACAGCGTGAGGCACGAAGTGACCAGACAGGTCCTCAACAGACCGCCGGAGGACCCCTCCACAGGACAGGGGACCTAAGAACCCCAACTCCGCCTGCGGTACGTCCCGGGAGGGTGAATTGCTTTTTTCAAAAAAGACGAGACGCAACACTCGGGGTTGGATAGACCTTCCCACTTGCCTACTACGGCCAGGCTACACCTTCTTGATGACAAACTTCTTGTCCCCTTGGGATTCAGAGTGCGACCAATAAGAGATGGAGGAGGCAAAACATCACCCGGCCGTATTCCTCCACCACTGAGGTCGCCATCAACACTGGCTACCAAGGGACAATTGATCCTTGCTAAGGTCCAGTCAGTGACTAAGGATTTCCAGCGCTCCATCAACCAGCGTGAGAAGCAGCGCCCATTTCCCGAAGCCCTTCTACGGGAAGTCCGACGCATCTTGGTGGGCCCTGACAAGGATGCCATCCACCAGGGCCAACCGTTCTACCACGAGGCGATTCATGACCTGGCCAAGCAGATGAACGATGTGGACCAGGACTACCCCCTCATCCTCCGAGAAGGCGTCCCACTTGGTGTCTCAGAACCTACACTGACCAGCCCGGGGGGTCTGGCCCACAAAGTCTGAGTTAACAGGCGAAGACCCTACGATGGAATTCCTTCCACCCCACAGGCAGGGCTAACTAGAGCTCCGCAGAGCAGTTTATAGAGGAGATCAAGGAAACCTTCCGGGAAGAACGGGAACTGAAAAAATGGGTCCTTCACCAAAACAGAGGCAGCTGCCTACTGTGGATGTACCCCTGAGGAAAAGTGAGAACGATCTATGATGGCTCATGGGGAGGGGCCAATGCAAATAACCAGAGGAACACCAAGGAATGCACTACGGCGCCCACTGTGATGGACTGTGTCCACTGCCTACATTGGTTGCGCGCCTCCCGTGGGATTTGCCCCTCCAAGCGGGCAGGTGCCTCGGGCCCTGATACGCGTGAGGATGGGCTGGGACAATGGTCTTGGCCGGAGCCGTGCACCGAATGGCGCATCCTCAAAGCGGACGTCGCCAAAGCCCATAGGCGCATCAAGATCCACCCCCAGGATTGGAGGTACCAGGTTGCCCAAAATTGGTGACGAATGGTGGCCTGCTTTACTGGTGGCGCATGGCAGCCCTCCTCCTCCTTGGGATCATCTACGCAGTGTTCCCGAAAATCGATTGGGGATTCGTCTACTCCAATGGGCAACAAGTGCTTGCCCCTTAACCAAACCGCTTCTTCAACCGCTTTGGCAATGGAAAGGAGCAGTCAAGTCATCGAGCAGACCTAATCATTTGATCCGAGTCTTTGCCAAGATGTTGCGACTACCTTTCCAAGAACCATACACTCAACCAACACCCTTTGCGCCCTGGTCACCCTGGCACGGGGCGAGTGATGCGAGTGCTTCCAACCAGAAGGAGTACTACATTTGTGGTGGGCTCTCCTCTGATCCAACCCCATCCAAACGATCAGTATTTTGGTTCCACCTCAAATTGGAAGAGACGACCTTTCCCTGGCTGTTCAACACCAAGACAGCCAGCGCTATGATACCAGTGCTTGAGCTACTGGGATCCCTCATTCTCATCTCCTTCATCTTGAAGATGGGGGAACGCCGCCAGCTGGTCATCAAGATCCCGGTCATCACTGACAACCGAGGGAATGTCTTCTGTATGCTGAACAACAAGACGCGGCAGATGCCCACTTCAGCTATTTTGATGCAGCTGGTCCTTACACTTCACAAAGGGGGGGCTCAGCTTGCCCCCAGCCACGTGAAGCGAGACCTCAACCAATGGGCTGACGAACTCACCCATCCGAATCCTACAGGGTTCCCACCCGGAGTTTCACCTGGATGCGAAAAACATCCTCTCTCAGTTTACCCTCATGAACTGGGTCCTCAAGGAGATCTACCACTACTGAGGCCCCGGGATTTCTCCGTTTTAAGCTCCTCCTCAGTTGCTTCATGCACTGATAGGGAGGAGCTCGACCCAACTAGACCATGACACCCATGGGTCCTAGACTGGACGCCCGGTGTCAGTCTGCTTTACAGGTTCTCACAGGCAGATTTTCGGTGGAAGGACAGCTCAAACCTGTAAAGGCAGACACTACCACCTCTCAGGGAAAAGAGGTGTAAGCTGCTGCCTTGATGCTGCTTATATTTGCCTTTTTTGGATTGATGTTTGAGGACACATGGGGTACACCGGGTTCACCAGGTACACAGGGGCCGTCTTTTGTGGCAAGCACTCATCATCTGGGGGAGCCGTCGTTTGCTCAAGGCACTTTGTTAGGTGTTGCTTCGTGTTCTCACAGCTTCCAAGAGGAGGTTTATCACCACTCCCGCTGTCACCATGGCATCCATGTCTTTGTCATTTCTCTGACTTTGCAAAAACCCCAACTGTCTCATTTGAGAAAAAAACACGTGCAAGACTTTTGGCACACCACACTTGTCCCAATGTTTTTTTAAAGTTTCTGTTTTTTCCAGACCATTCAGCTTTTTGCGAAGGTCTCGTTTCCATCCGTCTTGATCTGGATCTTTTCTTCTTCAGTGTAATTCTTCTCGCTGTGCTGCAAACATGTCACACAGAGACGTGTATGGGAGAAGGGTGGTGTAGAAGTACCGTATTATGGGAACCTGTACATTCTTGGCAAGAAGTGTTATACAAGTTATACAGAAGTTTTTGCAGCCGCAGAAGTGCTATCTAGCAGTCTGGAAGTGGTGTCCACAAGATATTGCCCGCAAGTGCTGTTAGAAGCGGCATAGACAAGTGTTAAACTGTTACACAAAAGTTTTGTATAGGAGTACTTGATAGACACGTTGTGCAAAGGCATTGCGTAGAGTGCAGTATGATGCCGAACGTCTGCAGAGGTGCTACATAGTGTCACAGACACATATAATATATAGAAATGTTGTGCGGCATCGGAATTGCGTAGCAGAGTCTTCAGGATGGAGATATTGATCCAATTCATGGGTCCCAACAGATATTCTAAGATTTACTGACTCAAAGTGTGCCTCAACAGATGAGCTACTCGATGGCTGGCAGGATATGATTTGTGTTTGGGCCTTGTTTGGGCCATTGGTATTTGATTCTGATGGGGTTGCTACAGATGGGGGATGGCTGGGACTTTTCCTGTGTGCCTAGTTTGAAGTGAAAGCAAACACTGCCTCAACCAAGTTGCTTCTACTTTGGAAAGTACTTGATGTTGGTGAGACCTTGGTTTGGGCAGGATTCGTCAGCAGCTCGTCCCAACAGAGCAGCCAGCCCAGTCTCAACGAAGCACGACTTTCACCAGAGCTTCAAAAGACTGGATGTTCTGTCCTGTGTGGTGCTTCTCGAGGCTGCAGAGGATGCAGCAGCGCAAGAGCGGCGAGCCGAGGCTGACCTGTAAGAGTGCCTCCAGGTTTTCCCGCAGGTTTTTATGCTCTTTGGCGCCAGGTGAAGCATGCGGCACACTTGTTCAATTTGTGATGTGACAACAATGGAACAGTTGAGTTAACAGTCCTCGTAAGAATCTAGAAACCCTCGCTCTACTGCTACTCCCCTGATCCCCCCCAAACCGAAGGAAAGAAAGGAAGGAGAAACGGCAGGAAACAAAAGGACATTGCACAACATGAACTCAGTCATTCATGTCTTGCTCTCCGTCTCCCGCAGTGTGGTCCTGAGCGAGTCCGGCTCCAGCTCAGCCCCTGCGGGCCCTGCACTGGCGGTGGCACGGAGCCGAGAGAGAAAGAGAGAGAGAGAGAGAGTAGCTTCTTGTTACTAGTAGTATATAAGGCATTTGTTACTAGAAGCGATGCCAGGAGCCCCTAGTAGCGTTCTTGCTCCTGGTAGCGATGCCCTTTGCTCCTAGTAGCTTCTTGTTCCTAGTAGCAATGCCAGGAGCTACTAGTAGCTTCTTGCTCCTAGTAGCGATGCCCTTTGTTCCTAGTAGCGATGCTCTTGGTACTAGGCCTCTTTAACAAGGCCTCCTTACAGAGACCCTTACCTTCTTTTGTTTCTGCTCTCTCTCTCTCTCTCAGTAGTCTTGAAAGTCTGAATTTTGACATTCGATCATGGTGTTCTTGCACTTTCATGCTCAGGTGCGCTTTGGCTCTCGATTCACTCCTGGCTCTTCTGTAGATTCTTTGCCTTAGTGCTCCTATGCGGATCTTTTCCTGCACCCAGAGGTATTTCACAAGAACACAGGGGAACATCAACCACACATCGCCCAGAAAAGGCGCGTGGTCCTTTGTACGAAGAAAGAACCAACAAAGCCGGGTTTTGGTCCTTTGTCTTTTTTCGCGCCATGACCGGGTCTGTTTAATGCCCCTCCCGGCCAACATGACCGGGCTGCTGTGGACAGCTCCGCAGCTCCGAAACCTCGGCCAAGCCGACCCGAATTCCGAGATGCAAAAAGAGACGGTGCGCACCGCCGGTCCCTCCGGCGTACCGCATACCGGTGCGGGCGTTTGGGGGCATGGGCTCAAAAAAAAGGTAAGCAGACCGTTTTAGTCCGTTTTACATGGTTTTTTCATCGTTTTAACTGCTTTGCCGATGTCCTTCTTCCCATGAGTTTGGATGAACCATAGCCAGACGAGCTGTTTCGAATTCTTCTCAGAGGAGGCTGCTGCAGGAAGTTTTTTTTGATCTGATCAACCTCAAAGTGATGTGATCTCCCCACTCACAGGCGAATAGGTAAATCGTTTCAATTCAGATCTATATAACTTAACTCAAAACGGCAGTCAACTTGGTTTAAACGCGTTCAGCTGTTTTCTAACCTCTTCTCTTTTTGGAATACCCGACCCAGCGGTGCTCGGAGCAATGCCTTGGAGCCGTTGCTTGGCGCCGGTGCTGCCGTCACTGAGCCGAAGAAGTCGTTGCGAGGAGCCCTCCGACTCCGAGCCACCGACTCAGCGACCCCCACGGGTGGTGGTGGTGGGCGCAGGGCTCACCGGATGCCTCACAGCAGCACTGCTGAGGCATTTGCTGACGGAGAAAGCTTTAGCTATCTGACCAACTCGGCCTACTCTCCAGGTTTTGTTCCACAAGGCTTTTCTGGGCAAGGATCTGAGAATCATTGAGCTGGTCTCAGGGTGAAAGGACCTGGAATACACAAATGCATCGGTATGAGACTTTATCTCTACGTGGCCGGCAGGCGATCGCTCCCCCAGCTGGAACTACAGGTGTGGGAAAGGGCAACATATCCTTCAGGCGGGATGCTGGTGGGCAAGAACTCTTGAGAATCACGAGTTTGAAATGAGAATCTTGAGCTTCGTTTCTCTATTTTGGCTCTTAAGCTCAACCGACCTGCAACCGAGTCGAGCCGGCGAGCGCAGGTCGCTTTGGTGCCGGTTTGGCATTTGAGGGTCACTGGCTAGACCTGGGCGCACAGGTCTTGTCACTGATAGAGGTGGATTCAGGCCATCCAAATGCTGGGGCAGATGGACACAACTTGCAGAGCTCTGACCTTTGTAGTGCGTGGGAAGAAGTTCAGAAGATGGTGTCGCAAAGCTTCCTACATCGAGTGCCTGATGACATGCTCGCAGCCACGGAGGCATCGAGTCGTCGAGTTGAGTCAATTGAGTCAATTGAAAGAACGCACTGCTGGGCTGGAATGAAGGATGAATCATAGACATCGAATACTTGTCATGAAATGAGGATATCACACACCTTGGCAGATGCAGGAGCGGATGAAGTACACAGGTTTGTGGGCTCATTTCTGGTGCCACCAGGGCTTTGGGGCTTTGCAGCGGCGCTACCTAGCAGAAGCTCGTGCCGAGCTGCGTCATGGCCGTGTGGATGCGGTCGCTGATGGAACGTTGGTGATTACCAAGAGACCCAGTGGACAAGTCTTGCGGGAGGAGGCACGAACTGCGTGAAATAGGACGGTGGCAGAGTAGTCTGTAGTTTTGGAACACGCATGTGAGTACTTGCGGCAATTCCATTACGAGTTGTTCGGTCATTCCACTTTGCTGACCTTATTCAGTGTGATACTACATCTTGCTTGACAATGCATAGGTGGCTTTCTTGTGGTATTAAGATCATACGGGCGTCATGCTGTCCCACCCCTTTGCAAGCAGGACGCACTCTTGCTATCAACTATGTCATTCCAATCACCATGGCCTCATTCACTCATCCGAACTCATCCCATCAACTTCACAAAAAACATCCCAACCGGACATGACTTCCGAGGCGGACTTGGTGATCCTAGCGGTGCCCGCGCCCGAGGTCCTGCGCGTGACCGGACCGGGGCGGTGGCCGGCGGTGGCTGCGGCGTTGGAGCGGATCCGCTATGACCGGCGCAGCGCGGTGGGCGTGGCCTTGGACCACGCACTGCTCCTGCCAGTGATTTGGCGGAAGTGTTTCCGGTTGGGGTGTGGTAGAGGCTGCATATGATTGAACGAAGATGTGGTAAAGCTGTTGTGGGTGACCTTGTGCCTCAACAAATACATAAAAGACATGAGACTGTGTCAATGCGTCGTCCTATGTTTCTCTGAGGTGGCTGATGCCTTTGCTGGCGCAGCTGAGATGTCCTTGGATCTTCCTCAATATGTGGAAGCAGATGACAAAGTACATTTGATTGCCTGGCAAAACGTGAAACGCATGGAATGCCATGGCGTGTCCAGTACCTCGATTCCGCATGGAGATCCCATTCTTTTGGTGGTGCACTCCACCACCAGCGAACCCAATTTCCACCTGAGCGACGCATTGAAGGCAGTGAGCCAAGTCTTGGGTGTGCCATCGTCGTTGGTGGAGGGCCTTGTTCTGAAATCCAAAATGGTCGATTGGACCTCCTGTCAGATGGTACAGCCCTTGGAAAGCATCCCCACAAATCTCCGGGTGGAGGAGCCATGTTTACAGCATGGCCGCGTCATTGTGGCAGGAGACTTTTGGTCTCAAAGTAGCTTCTTAGGCTGTTTTTGTTCGGCCAAAGCTGCCGTGCGTTGTGCTGTAACAAATCTGGAGGCAAAAGAAGTGATGCCTGAGGAAGCCAGAGCAGAGCTGAATGTTAACGGCTCCATTTGTCTCGATCTAGATTTAGAATTTATAGAACGGCATTTTCTGTAATAGCAGGGTGAAGGGAACAAGCTCTTGACACCGGCAGCTGTTACAACCTCAAACAGGCATGAAAAGCCAATATAGATTCAACCAGCAGGTAACATCAAGTGTTAGGCTCTACGCTCTTTTGACTGCCACTGTTTTGTGTTGAGAACACGGCCATTTGTATTTCTTGGAGATGATGGTAAGAACAGCTGTCATGGAAAGCTTTAGCTGCAGCCTGAGTAAAGGCAGTCCCAAACAGCATCAAACGGTCAAAAGCGAAGCTGTTTGACTCTTGAAGGTCTGAACGGTCTGAAGTTAGAAAAAGGTCGCAAGATTCTCCAAGAAAGCTCCCTGCATCCTGAGGTCTATTCACTCTTCCCACTCTTCCCCCTGGCTTTGATGGCTTCGAGCTCTTATGTTTCTTGGATTTGTATAAGCATGATTCCTTTCGTTCCTTTCCTGCTAGTAACCGGCAGTAGTTGTTGAACAGATTGCAAGAGTGGTTTCAGTGGTTTTGATCTCTGAGGTGCTCCGATGGAATTTAGCACTTGCCACTGCAGCCAAGTCAGCCAAGTGGAAGAGAGCCCTGTCCTTGATGCAAGGGCTGAGAACAGAAGCTTTGCAGCCAGACGTGGTCACTTTCAATACCCTTCTTCGTGCTTGCACACGTGCGAGTCGATGGAAGCTTGGTTTGTTCATGCTAGATTCTATGAGAGAGCAAGAGCTGAAAGCAGACGCAGTGACTTTCACGTCTCTGTTGGGCTTTCAAAAAGATGCCGCCGCCTGGATTCGCGCTGTGGCCATCCTGCATGCCATGCAACTGGCACTGCTTCAACCTGATGGGCATGCTTTGAATGCAGTCTTGGCAGAATGCATGGCAGCAGGCCATTGGACCTTGGGCTTGATCCTTTTGAAGCAGGTTCAGTCTGCTCAGTTGGCTTCGAGGAAACCAGATAAGCAACATGCTGTGGCTCTAAGTACTGTGATGGCCGGAGCTGTGAGAGCAGGGCGTTGGGACGTTGCTTTGTCTCTTTTTGGAGCCTGCGAAGCTCTGGATCGTGTCGATGGTGTCCTTTTGTCTACGTGCATGCGAGTTTGCCGCGCTGGACATTTCTGGCAGTTGGGCTTGTTGTTGCTTCCTAGAGCCCAAGATCCTGATGCCGCAGTGTATAATGCCGCTATTAGCATGTGTGCAGATGCAGGTCAATGGCAGACGGCCTTGGGTCTGTTCGGAGAAGCTCATCGCAACCAGCGCACGGACACCACGAGTTGCAACGCCGCCATCACCGCCTGTGATCGGGGCCGGGCTTGGCCACACGCGCTCTACACTTTTCACTTGGCTGTTGGGCTTCGAGATTACATCAGTCGTGGAGCCCAGTTTCGTTTCAAAACACCGGAAGAGCCACCATAAGATGCTTCAGTTGTGGTCAAAGAGGATTCGAAGAGCAATTTCTGGAGGAGTGAGAGTGCTTTTGTTGGGTGCACGTTGTTTGAAGCATGCTTCAAACGTGCATTGAATTACTGCACACTGTGAGGCTATTGCGCCATCTTCAGTGCTTGCCGGGGACAGTGGCCCCTGACTCTAGCTTTGCTGCGGATGGCAGCCAGCGAGCAGATTCAACCAGGATGGATTCTGGGTGCCAACATGATCACGATCAACCAATACAGATGTTGTACAGTACTCCCCCCCCCAGCGAGAGAAGTCCGAAGGTTCCTCTCGTCTGAGGAGAATGTAGATGGGAAGTTGGGTCCAGGGCGGCTGAAGTGTTGGGGTTTCGGATGGAGGCGGCGTGATCGCCTTTGATTTCCGACCTGTGTGCAGGCGAACGAGCCTGGAGCGCTTTGCTCACCTCCTGCAACTCACAATGGGAGTTGGGCTTAGTGCTTGCCGATGAAGGAGCGCAAGCAGAGTATAGATGAGTATAGCATGTACTGATATTCACCGAGTTGTGTTGAAGGTTGGCCTCAAAACGCAAATGACTTTTGTGGGGGTGTCGTGGGTCATTCTTACTGCTTGAGTCCCTCTATCCACTTCTGCAAGACGGGAATTCTGTTGCAGGCCGTGATGCGAATTGGGACATCATTTGTCACAACACAGTGATGCACATGCTGTCAGCCGCTGGAAAATGGATGGAGGTGCTGCACTTGCTCAACACCTTGCGAATCTCAGCTCAAACTCAGTTCGTTGAAGGAACATCCCTTGATCAAATCTGTTGATCAGATCATCACATAATTTCTTGATATTTCTGAAATTAGCCATTCTGGACGAGTCAAACTCCTGCCATCCCCTCGCAGCTCCATGAAAAACGCTTGGTTAGGTGGTACCCATCAGCCTGATGCTGTGACCTTGGATGCAGCTTGTTCGGCCTTCGAGGCCGTCGAAGAGTCCAGTGTGCTCATCAGCAGTGTACTTCGAATAATTTTTGTAGGCCGTTGCCTGTCTCACTTTGGGACTTTCGAAGGATGGTCGCAGATTTCTTTCTTTTCGTGGAGCTCCTGAGATGGTTTCAACATGTTTCAACATGTTCAAGCAATTTATACATCAATAGACTTAGACAGTACGAGTGTATGAGGGTCTTCTGGGTAGGTCAGCAGCAAGGAACCGGGGAATAACAAAGGAAGGAAAGGATGAGACTGCAAACAAATGGTAGAGCACTGTGCTCTTTGGGCTAAGTTGACTTGGCGCTGAATAACAGAGCATGTACGTATATATAGTTATATATATATACATATGTATAATGTGTTCTTCATAGCCTTTATTGCAGGCATCCGGTGCCTTCCGGCAGCTGCCCTTGGTCCAAGAAGCACTGCGGACGCGTGCGGTCGGTGAACTCGGAAGGAGATGAGATTTTCAATCCAAGAATCGGAGAGTCAATGGAGTTTCTTCACAGTGTTTTTTTGTCGGGTTCTTTTGTGTGGTTTGAGGGGGTCCTTTTCAGCCATCCAGCTGCTCCCAGGCTGCGCATTGCACATCCGAATCTGAAGGCCTTTGCCATTGCTCTGCTTCATAGACCAAGAGTCAAAGTACCGTGCAGTTCTATGGGCAACACATATATATATATATATATCACCAGCTGTCTCTATGCTGACTATCCAATTAAAGCGCCCCTTTAGCCTTCAATGACTTTTTGAGCTTCTTTTGACATCCGTCTTCCTTACCCAAGCGCCCGTGCCATCCCGTGCCCACTTCAGCTGACCAATATGGGTCGTCAGGCCCGGATCTCTGGCCATTGAAAGCTGGCTTGGGCCTTGCCGCCACTTGGGCTTCTGGGCGGTTGGAGAGGCCGTTGAAACTGCTGGCAGATCCTTTCCTAGGATGTGGTGGTTGGGGCAAAGCCTGATTCCGACTCAGAAGTCTTCAAATCTCAGAATTTGGCTACTGGACAGGAGGATCATGACAGTTCTCGCAAACATTTTCGAGATGTTGGCAAGTTTGAACTCCCCAAATCCTGGCTTTGCTGCTTACTCCTTGCCGGTCGATCTTGTGCTTTGGGAGGCTTGGGATGCGGCTTGCCCTGGGCGTTCCTTTAAACCGAAAGAACTTCTCTCACGGTCAAAATGACGCAGATGCGGAAAGCAAGTCCTTGATGATGCAGACATATCATGAAAAACGCTTCAATTAACCTTGAATGTTCATGCAGACGCACAGCAAGACTCAATTGCGGGAATCACATTCTAAGATCTGAAGGGCCATTGTCACGGCGGCAGACCATCTCTAGCTCAAACCAGGAAGACTGCGCAGAGAATTGCTCACGCATTGCTTTGTTTACCCATCACTTTTCCATGAGTTGTTGAAGACGGGACATTCTGTAGCAACTGATAAAGACCGTTGCCCACTCAAAAAGACCGTTGCTTGAAAGGGAAGGACGACACTAGGCTTCCCGATGCCAAAGTGCTGCAATGTCTCGCATTGATGAAGCCTTCCTGCCCCTCGGCGGTGGAGGTGGGCTGGATCCGTAGGATGCAAATCAGTCGCACAGTCATGGATTTGACACTTTTCAGCTGCCCATTTTGCAATTGCAGCTATTTTGGACCAAAGCCTTTTTCCATGTGAATAGCTGCAGAATGGACATCGATTCTTTCGACCCACTGCTATTTGCCACGACGCACGCGCACGATGGTCCTCACCCTATTGAGAACATAGGGTCTGGAAAGATGCTGGACCAGAATGGGAGACTTTGGCAGCTGGCACGCTGGGACGATGATTTGACTCAGATGGAAGAAAGAGATGTGTGGATGGAGCCAAATCTGTTTCCCATAAAAGTATACTATCGCGTGGATGGACCGCATGCACCACGCGCGATGCCTTTTGAAGCCAATGTACGCTTTACTCAAGATGTGGATGTCTTATTCAGGTGCAGGAGTCCGGGAGAGTGCCGCATCCAGATGGGTCATTTCTTGAGAGCAATCCTGAAATTTGACTTTGGAAAAGATCCATTTCTAAGCATCTCTACTATGCTGCCAGTGCATGAGCAGCGGGCTTTTAGCTGTTTGGCTAGGAGGTTTCGCTATGCCAGCACATGTGCTTGGAGTGATGATGTTAACGAAAATGAACGCATCATGTTGCCCATAATGCGAAAGGATCAACCTGGATTCCTGTCAAGATGCATCGCCGACTCTGGCATGTGTAAGGCTTCCTTAGGAAGGATGCTCTTAGAAGCAACTGACGGAGGCAGGTTGTATCGTGGCCATGTGTGTTGCAGACTCTTGGGAGAGATGGGTGCGGTGATTCGCTTGGAAGATGCCGTCAAGGTCATTGCTGAAGACGAATATCACGCTGGCGTCTATGTTCATCGAACTTCAAAGAAGTGTGAACGTGTCTATGCGGGTTTTGATTGCTTCTTGGTCTTGGACCCAGCCTCAGAGCTTCAAATGCTACGGGACTCGGGAATGAACCTTGGCCCAGTTGGACAACAATGGCAAGCACCATTTTGGCGTTTTATGGATGATGGGGGGTTTGATACAGTCTACTTAGCTTTTTCCTCGAGCGTTGTGCCTCCTTCGGATGGATGGTACGAGGTACTGTATTATCCCGGGGAAGGCTCGCCAACAATTCAGATAGCACCCGTGAAAGTGGAAGATTTGATTGACTCTGGAACTCAAACGCGTGGCCCAATCCTGGACAAGTCAGAGGTTCGCAGAAGAATAAATTCCGTTTTCAGCCGGCCACCACAATGGACGCCTTCGACAGCACATCATCCATCAATCTGATGTGCAAACGAACAGTCGATGCAGAAACGTGACAGAAAAGACTAGTTGCTGGGTCCGGTGCTCAAGAGCTGTTTGGATCATATTTGGAGTGGGTTCAGCCTACTAGGGTTGAACACACACGCGTAATTATTATGCCGCAACAAGTAAAACCACAATATATATATATATGTATGCACAAAAAGTTCAGACAGCTCCAGCTCCCTAGACCGCTGAATGCAGTGTTACTGTAATTATATGACACGATTTGAGAGACTCAATTCTCAAAGCAAGGGATGGACACCTGGAGTGTCAAGGTTTTCGAAGTTGAATTTGAGAGTCATTAATTAATACGTTTAGTCATTTCTAGATGTCGGCCAGAACACAGCAGTATGCTGATGAGTTGTAAGCATCAAAGTAGATAGAGCCTTGTACAGTAGGGCGACTTTTGTGGACTACTATATAAGTTGATAAAGCAAGTCCTTTGCACTGATGTCGTGGTGAGGTGATTCCAGGTGTTTTCCCGCGGCCGTTTTAGGCCTAAGCCATTCGACTACGTCGCAGGTGAAACGGCTGCGCTGCTTGTTAGGTGACCGGTGTGTCCACCTTTCCACAGTGGCACCGGAGCCTGAGTTGCCTTTTTTCGAGGCTGCTGCACTCCGCTTCCAGCGCTTCGGCATCCTCCTTTTCTTTTTGGCTACATCCTCTCCTTTCGGAACGTCCTTGTCTTTTCGGTAGGTGACCTCTGCGGACTCTACCTCTTTCACGCCTTTGGCCCTTGCCGGGCCGACCTTTGGAGGTCTCTTGGGACCACTTGCATCGGTCTCTTTGGGGACCGCCTGGCATCTGAGGCCGCCGCGCCTCCACTTTGGCTTTGGCCCTTTTTTGCACGAGCTCTTGACCGTTGAGCCAGACTTCAACCTTTGTTTTGGGACGCCTTTGGACTGTTTTTGGAGCTCCTCACGCTGGAGGAGCCAGTTGCCTTGTTTTTCTTGGCCATTTTGGCCCACCAGGCCTGACGGCGAGGACAGCGGGACCTCGTCGTGGTACAGAGTCCCGACATGGAACGGGAACCCCTCGGAGTGGCGGAGCTTCCGCCGCGAGATGAGTTGGTGGATGGCCTCGCTCGATCCTGAGCAATGCAAGAAGTTCAACATAGCAGCCAAGTGGGCGCTGCGGCAGCACGGAGTGGTCCGTGCCAGGTGCGAAGAGTTCGACCCGTCGGACTTGGAGGGGGTCAAGGAAGAGAGCATGGAGGACCCCGACACCGGGGAGAAGATCGTCAGAGTTGAAGCCAACCCCTTTGCAGGACTTGAAAAGTTGATGGGTGCCCTGGAAGCTACAGTTGGAAAGTCAGCTCTCGACCGCAAAGGAGAGCTCAGGGCGCAATACTACCAGGAGATCAAAAGGAATCCTGGAGAAAGAATCTCGGCATTCTGTACAAGGTACAGGACTTTGGCGGCCGAGCTCAAGCGAGAAGGCATCCATCTTCACGAAGAAGAACTTGGATGGATGCTCAAAGAGCGCCCGGGATTAGATCCCATCAGGAAGCAGCTCCTTGAGACAGCGCTCGCTGGCAAGGAGGCCTATGACCTCGTGGAGACTGAATGTTTGAGGCTCTTCAGAGATCTTCACACCGCTGATCCGCTACAAGTCTCAACAGCCGGAGAAAGCTCCTTTGCTCCAGCGCTTCCTGCAGTCTCAAACAGGCCCTGCTTCCTCATATCGATCCTCAAGCACCCAGTGAGCTCTATGGCACCTTCCTCAGTGACGTCCTTCAGGACTCAAAGCTCCTATGGTGGCAACAAACCGCCTTTCAGGAAGTTTGGCAACTCCCAAGGCCAACCTCCACAACGCCAAGCATATGTGGCAGAGCTGCCTGATGAAGAAGAGACCTTGGCAGCCGACGGCGATGAAGAAGAATTGGTCCCCGATGATGATGGCGGAGGACCAACCTCCATTGAGGAGGTGCTGCAAGCTGAAGCTGAACAACTCGCTTCGGAGCTCCAGGATCTTGAAGAACAAGGCTGTGATCCTCAAATGCTCGATGAACTCGAAGCAAAGATTCAAGAGGTCAAGAAAGACCGGGGCTATGGCAAAGCTGGTTCAATGACGATGAAGTCAAAGCCCCATGGAAACCAAGTCCCGAAGCAAAAAGCCAACACCAGATGCTTCGACTGCGGCGAACCAGGCCATCGGGCCGGCGATGCAGGATGCACCAAGCCAGGCATGGGTCTGGGCAAGCCAAAGGGCAAAACCAAGAGGGATCCATCCTCCATCAAGCAAGTGAGGGTGGCTGAGACCTTGAACACGGAGCATCTCCCTCCAGAAGATGATGAGCATGACGGCGGAGACGCCAACGAGGTCATGATGGCCACCCATGATTCGTTGTTTGCACACGGCCTGCAAGAGGCTTTGAAGTCGGAGCACTCTCCCAACTTGGCAACCGACAAGCGATTCGTCGGAGCCCTTGACTCCGCCTGCAACCGAACCTGCGCTGGCAATGTTTGGCTGTCCTTTTATTTGCAAGCCTTAGAGAAGGCGCCCAAAGTGGTTCGGCAGCTCATCCAGACGGTGGAAGAAGACGAGCTGTTTCGCTTCGGCAATGGGGGCACACAGCGCAGCACCATTCGGTATCGTCTTCCAATGATGGTTGGTTCTTCGCTGGTATTGGTATGGGTGAGCATTGTTCCTGTAGCCTCCCTCGGTTTGCTTTTGGGCCGTGATTTCCTCAGCGGGATCGGTGCAGTTTTAAGTTTTGGAAGAAGGAAGCTTCGAGCCGACCTCGTGAACGGCGAGATGATCGACCTCGGTCAGCTCACGGCAGGACACTTCTGCCTCAGCCTGCAGCTAGCGACATGGCCATGTCCGGGCCCTCAACGCTGGAGGAAGATGGGTCAGGATGGGGTCATTGAGCTTCAGCTAAATAGCATGGATTGGTGGTCAAAGCAGCTTCGTTTTCGTTTGAGTCATTTTGATGAGTTTCATGCTGCAGTTGCACCCCATGAGCATTTGATGACGGAGCATGGCATCAAGGCCGCCGTGACCGCTGGGGCTCAAGCTATGCAGGTGGCTCAAGCTCGCATCGCTCCCTCGACAACTTCGCCTACAAGTTCAGTGAGTCTGCGCCCTCAGCCGGACACCAAGCCTCCTATGCAGGCTCCCGAGATCCACGACCTGACAGCCGACGAGTACGGCAGACAGGCGCTCCGATGGCGCCGCCTCATCGTAAGGCTTCGCGCAAAAGCTCGATGGCGCGCACATGGGCTGCTCTTGTGGCTGTATCCACGGCCGCATCTGCGCTACGCTCCTTTGCCATACCCCAGCATCTCCCACACGCAACAATGGGAACAGCAGTCGGTCTCCATGTGGAGGCAAAAGCCAAGAGCCTTGCCTCAGCAGCATCACCAACGGGCGATCCACTACAAGGCCTTCACGACTCAGAACCTCCACGATCTGTCGCAGTTCAGGAATCGCCTTGGCCTCGAGTTCGCCTTCGTGGAAGACCGCCTCTTGCAAGGGATGATGGTGGGAAGGAGTGTCAAGGGCATGAATCAACAGTTGAAAAGAGAAGCCATCAAGGAGGCCCAAGCAGAAGCTGTGGAGATGACCAAAAAGGGCGAGCAATTGGAAGCAGTGCGCTCCCTCATTGGGCCTTGTGGCGGTCTTCCTTCTCTCAAGGCCGACCTGGTGAAACTGGCCGCACTGTTCAACATTCCGGTCGAAGCCAAGATGACCAACGAAGAGTTGAAGACTCTATGCCGCCCAATGGTCAACAAGTTGATGGTCAAGAGTCCATCAAAGCCCAAGCCTTCAAGCGCCTCAACGTCTCTGAGTTCAACGGATCAGCACACCTCAGCCAAGGCTCCAAGCCCTACGGGCGCATACCAGTCACAAGGCGTGCCAATGCCTACCAAGGCTCCAGAACCCAGCCTGACAGCAGCCGAGGTACAGCAGCTTCTGGGCCAGCAAGAACAACGTTTCCAAGGCATGCTTAAACGGACATGATGACTCCTGGAGCAGTTGGCCTACCGCCAAGCGGCCAAATCCTGGACACAGCCGTGATCCAAAGCGCAAGCTGGTTTCGCTGGGCCACCAGGAAGTGAATGAGATCTTTCAGGAGGAATGGAACGACGACTTGGAAAAGTATAAGGAAGTTTTTGTGACCTCCCTCGTTCTCGACTTCCCTGTCTGAGGCCAATGAAATGCAGTCGAATGACGTCATGACTGTGAATAACAAGGCCCAGTCTGTGATGCCCAAGGCCCTTGTCTCCGGGGTGTACACCACTACGGAGCGGGTAGCTAAGTCAGCTAGAAAGCGAGGCCACAAAGTCGGATCTTCCCTGTCCTTGGAGTCCGGATGGGATTTCACGCGGTTGCTCGACCGTCAAGCCGCCAGAAAACTCATTGCCGAGGAAATGCCCTACTTCCTGATCCTGGCCTTCCCTTGCACGTTCTGGAGCATTTTGCTGAACTTGAACCCACCAAAAGACTATGAGAAGCGTCTCAAGGAAGCCATAACCCTCTTGAGGTTCGCTATCCAACTTGCAAAAGATCAACGAGGCCGTGGCCTTCATTTTGTCCTTGAAAACCCTCAAAAGTTCTCGAGCGTGGACCCTCAAGGAAATGGTCAGAGCCTTATAGAAGATCTTCAGGCCCGAACGGTGGACTTCCACCAGTGCAGATTCAAACTCACCGATGTTCATGGCCAGCCTCATCGAAAGGCTGCTCGAATAGCGACCTCCAGTGACTACATCATTGCGGAGCTCGACGGCGTGAACTGTCTGGGCGATCATAACCACGCCCATGTGATTGGTGGAGCCTCCATCAGTCAACGAGCAGGTCAATACCCTTGGGCGCTGGCCCAAGCGCTCGTGAGAGGGATGGAAAGACAATTCGAACATGACTTCAAGAAGCCGCACTCCACGTTGGCCGTGGAAGGTGAGAACCTCGAGAATGAAGAAGCTCCTATGGATCTGCAGCCTGAGTCTGATGACAGTGGTTCAGAACCTGGAGGAGAAGCAAGCCTTGAGGAGACTTCGTGAGAATACCGGCCACCGCTCTCCGAAACGACTTGCCCGAGCACTACAAGTTGCAGGAGCACCTCCACAAGTAGTTCACGCAGCGCGGCATTTCCAATGTGCTGTATGCAATGAACAAAAAGCTCCCAAAGCTCGGCGCCCAGCATCTCTGCCATCGCCAAAAGACACAGGCGATCAAGTCCACTTGGACATTTTTGAGCTCTTTGACATCGAGGAAAAGCGCTTCTATGTCATCCATGCCATTGACGCCACTTCGGTTTCAAATGGCTGAGGCCCTCGAGCACAAGAGCAGTGAGAATGTGGAGCGCTTCATGGTGCAAAAGTGGCTGCCTATCCTGGGACCTCCTCGTGTCCTTGTCGCGGACCAAGGCAAGGAGTTCGTGTCCCATGCATTTGAGAGCTTCTGCAGTAAGCACTCCGCCATTCAAGCTCCTTGGCAGAATGGGATTTGTGAGAGAGAGGTGGGGCGGTGCTCAAAGCCCTTGCGAGATCCATCATCAAGGCCCACAGTGTCTTGGGAAAAGGGGAAATGGAAACGGCTCTCCAAGAAGCCGTGATGAGCTACAATGCCGATGTCACCGGTGCGGGCGTTTCTCCATGTCAAGCGGCATTTGGCCGCCAACCAAGGATGCATGGCGACTGTCTTGGAGATTTTGGTCGTCGACTCGCCGAACACTCCCTCATCTCATCCTCTCCGAGTCTTGCCAGACAAGTGGCAATGCGCGAAACAGCGCGCTTGGCGATGCTGCGCCTTCATTTTTCCAGAGGATTGAGAAAAGCAGAAGTGGCGAGATCAAGATCATCTACGGTGACTTCTATGCAAGGATTGGAGCCAGGCAGCATAGTCTACTTTTACAGACAGTCCAAGTACAACAACACGACAGCAGCCTCCAAGAAGAAGCTGAGCCTTCGCAGATGGCGTGGACCGGCCTTGCTCGTCGCCCTCAAGCCCAACAATGGCTATGTCAGCTATCGTGGCCAATTGTCCAAATGTGCTCTCGAACACCTTCGGCCGGCCAGCGCACTAGAACAAGTGGCAAGCTCAGTTTGGGAGGATGCAATTCAAGAAGTGGTGGACGCTGCCTGCCATGACCAAGAGATAGTGAAGCCTCAGCCCAAGATTGAGCCTCCAAAAGCAGCGCATGTCTCTACGCCTGAGGAATATGAACCCACGGAGCCTCCTGAAGATCGAGAACGTGAAACTGAACTAGAAGACGGTCCTCCGGATCTTCCTCCTGTACATCCTCAAGAGATGGTGCGAGCCTTGGAGCCCAGGCCTGAGTCGAGTCAGCCTGCTTGGTCAAGAATGACTTCATCGCTGCCTGAGTCAACAGTGGCTCAATCACCTTTCGCTGAAGCAGTTCGTCAAGCTTGGGCACAAAGAATGCCAAGACAGACCTCACTGGACACCGCCACCGGTAGTGTGAAGAGGCCAGCGGATGCAGCTCCAGTTGATGTTGAAGTGCCTGCCAAAAGAATTGCTCACGAAGAACCTGCTGCTTCAACTCCAACGCCAACCGAGCCAAGGCCTTCATCAATGGCCCGTGATGCGTTGGTTATGTCCCATGAAGTCATGGAAGCAATGGCCTATGCTGAAGTGCATCCTCTTCGTCAAATCCAGGCTCAAGCAACCCTGGACCACCAGAATCCGATGGAAGCCAAAGTTCCAGACCACGGAACATGGAGAGGAAACTGGCCTATGCCTTCGAGGACGGAGTTCCAACGTCGTCAAGCTCTACGGCAAATATGGCCACTCGGCAATGAAGATGCCACCAGAGAAGTCCTCGCAGTCCTCACCGCTCGTAAGGAGCGACCTTGGACCTCCATGACTGAAGATGAGAAGGGTGAGTTCAGAAAAGCCGCAGCGAAAGGATGGTCAGTCTGGACCGACAATGATGCAGTCGGCCTATGGTTCCTCTGGAGTGCTGATGGAGCACGTCTTGAAGGAATGATGGGGAGACCACGGACGACCTTCTCCTGGCCGGCAACGCTCGGGCAAAAGAGACTCTTCGTTCTCTAGGAGAGGAACTGGGCTTTGGAGCCATCTCTGAAGGTGGCTTCACCTACTGCGGAAAACATATCGAGCAGCTGCCCGACAAGTCCATCAAGGTCACGATGAAAGAAAAGCTGCCCGACAAGTCCATCAAGGTCACGATGAAAGAATACCACCAGGACCTTCAGCCAGTGCGCATTTCACAAGAGCGCAAAAAGGATCCCTCCTCCTCGCTCAACCCAGGAGAACACAAACACCTCCGAGCAATCCTGGGATCATTGCAGTGGTTGGTGGCCCAACTTCGAATAGATTGCGGGTTCCAGCTATCTTCACTGCAAGCAGAAGCTCCTACGATTGGAACTTTGCAACGGGCCAACCTGCTTCTTCGCCAAATGAAGCAGCATGCCGACTTTGCCCTCCAGTTCAAACCTTTGGACCTGAAGGGTGCAGGCATCCTCGTCGTCTCAGACGCCAGCCTCGGCAATGTGCTGAAAAGTGGCAGCGCTGAAGGAGAACCTTTGAAAAAGGTTTATAGCCTGGTGATGATTGCCGATGCCAACCTCATGGCAGGAAGAACTGGTCGCTTCACGATCCTCGATGCCAGGTCCCACCGACTTCAAAGAGTCTGCCGCTCAACATTCGCAGCAGAGCTCCTGGGCATCGAAGAGGCCATGGACACCGGCCAATATTGCCGGGGGGTATTGGCAGAAGCTTTTGGTCATCCCTTGGACCGAAAGCCCCTCGACCTGAGCACCGATGCGGTGCCGATGATGACCGTGACCGACGCAAAGGATGCGTACGACAAAAGCTGCAGCGACACGCCAAGCTATGGCTCGCAAAAGAGCTTGGCTTTCACCATAGCATGGATTAGAACCATGCTCAACAGGTGCAACACCTCCCTCCGCTGGACAAGCGCAGAGAACATGATCATTGACTGCGGTACCAAACCTATGGACTACAGTCAGTTGCACCAGGTCCTGGAGGCCAATGAACGGTGTGTCACTTACTCCCCTACTTTCGTCAAGCAAGCCTCGAAAGGAAAAGCTGCCAAGATGAAGCCAAGTGAGCAAATGCACCTGAGGAGCGACTTAGGAGTTCCTTTTGGGTCGGACGACCCTTTGTTTGCTAAGGTAGCCAAGCTAGCCGAAACACCCGGCTGGCACCTTTTGAGTGAAGGAGTGTCCGCACATGTGTGTAAGGGAGCTCGAAGCTTCGGCTCTCCCGAGCCCAGGTTCCAGAAAGAAGCCTTCCCGTACAGAACTTCATTTGGGAGATTTGAAAAGGTGTTGGGCCTTCACTGGCGAAAGTTGGAGGGAACAGAAGACCTCCGCGAGATTTCAAATGCTCGCAAGCCTCTGCCGACAGAGGCACATACTCTGGTCACCCTTTTCCACCAAGAGCCATCAGTGCAACAAAAAGAGAAGAATGAACTGATAAAGCAAGTCCTTTGCACTGATGTCGTGGTGAGGTGATTCCAGGTGTTTTCCCGCGGCCGTTTTAGGCCTAAGCCATTCGACTACGTCGCAGGTGAAACGGCTGCGCTGCTTGTTAGGTGACCGGTGTGTCCGCCTTTCCACATAAGTAAATAGATACAAAAACATATATATATATATATAAATGACATCATTCTCAGCATGCTTCACGCGGAAGGCTTATGCAGCGCCTGTGAATGGTTCACGTGCTTCAGCTGCCTGGGCCACCAGAGCTTTTTCAGAGCTGTTGGTGAAGATGCGCCAAAACAGCAACACAAATTCTGTTTTGTCAGACAATGTTAACGCATGTTTGCACAAATAAACCTTATCTATGTCTGTGAGGAATCTTTGGCACAGCGAAACATTTTGAATGGCACCATCTTGAGGATGGAGATTGTTTGCTAGCCCTTTTTTGTGCCCTTCGGCTGTCCGTGGTATCATATCACCAAGGCCCAAGCCTTCTCGTCACGCTTGCAGTTGCAGGAAGATCAAGGAGCCCAGGCGCATTGGTTCACGGGAAAGGTTGCACCACGATGTCAGCTTTGTAATTCTAGGAAGGACACTTCTCATACTGGTACATGAAATTTGCTTCGAACTTAACTCGAGGTTCGTCTCTATATGGCGGAGTCTGATCTCGCTCCAGGTTTCTTTGATTGTGCGGTAGTGTGCGTCCTTTTTCTTGAGGCACTGTCGTTGGCTTTGCCAGCGCCAAAGTCAAGAGGTGAGGACAGATGGGATGTGGAGTACAGAACTTCATTAGACATGCAATGTTTTTAGGTGTTGGCATGCAGCCTACCAGTATTGAATGGGACAGTCCACTTGGGCTGATTGGGAACTCTGTATGACTGGGACGACCCAGTCTCGGAGGCGAAGGTCCTTCTTTGCGACCGTCCGGCTCCCTCCCGAAGCCACCAAAGCAGCAAGTGGAGGCAACTTCAAAGAGTACGAGAGGCAGTTGTTTCAGAACAAGAGCAGTTTGTGTTGGAAATGTGTCTTCAACGTAAATAATTTGCTTGGTTTGCTTGCTCGTGTGAATCAGGCAGTACCTTGAGATCGATTTGCATCCACTGCATACACTTTTGTAAAAGTTGTGTTTTTCTGCTTCCCAACACGTGCGATGCGAATCAGGCCTTAGCTAAGAACTTGGCCTTGGCTGCTCGGCAACGTCCAGAGCGGAAGGACCCAACGGAGGTCCGAGATAGAGCCATCGTTTTCATGATCTGCTGTGAGAAAGAAGAGTTAATGTTGTCTAGTCTAGATTCTAGATGTTGAAAAGCCAAAGAATGTGGCCTGTAGATGAGAACCGTTTCACAGTCTTTGCCACACTTGGAGAGGCTCCGATACTGGCTTTGGCACCACCGCCACCACCCAGCAAGGGGCGTGTGAGTGCGCCTGGGTCAAGTCACGAAAGGCCCTCAGGGGGATACCTTGGGTTTGTCTTGCGAAGCAAGTCTGGCTCGAAGTGGATCTGGTCTGCAAGACTCAGATCATCGGCAACTCGGAACATGAATCAGCAGATCATCGGAGCGACAGTTCATCGTCACGATCATCGGATCGTTTGCAGCTGCAGCTCATCGGATATATGATGATATATGCAACGCTCGGATCTGCAGATCTTTGGATCATTGGCTCAACGGAGTGATCCTCCGCTCACCGGATCTGCAGTGGATCTCATCGGATCTGCAAGGCTCGGCTCAAGTCATTTGCAACTCGGAACACGAATCAGACTAGGAGCAAGAACGCTACTAGGAGCAAAGGGCATCGCTACTAGGAGCAAAGGACGCTACTAGGGGCTCCTGGCCGTACTACTAGGAGCAAGAAGCTACTAGTTTTTCATGCCCATTTTCTCAACTTCAACGGTCATCGTCTCGATCCTTGGATCGTTCGCAGCTTCAGTGCGTATCCGACTCTAAGCAACACACGGTTCAGATCATCGGACCAATCGGGTCTGCAGCGGATCTAGGGTCATCGGATCAGCAGATCATCGATCAACATCAGATCAGCCGCGCCTCGGATGGGACCATTAGTTTAGTTGTGGATCCTCGGCAACACTGGGGGTTTGACTTCATTTAAACTACAATCCCCGCAGCCCCCTCGTATTGACTGTTCATGCTCTTTGAAGGCGGATCTGGTCTGCAGGGGATCATGGGACCTGCAACAGGCGGATCAGTGGATTAGCGACGCTCGTTGGATTACGGGAGCGTACCTTCAATAAGGAGGCCCACCCGACAACAAAAGCTGTTGTCATGCATCCTGTTGTCATTGTATGTAATGTAATGGAATGTAATGTAATGTAATGCAATTTAATGTAATGTAATGTAATGTAATGTAATGTAACGTATGTATGTATGTATGAACGAACGAACGAACGAACGAAGGAAGGAAGGAAGGAAGGAATTAAATCCTTCATTTTGCGCTTGTTGCCTGTTTTCATGATTTGTTCTTCCTTACTTGTTCCTATTGCTTTCTTACCAATCATGTCTCACCCTTCTCAAGTTGCAAAACTTATTCTCGTACTCCAAAAGCTGGATTGACGTGCGTGAATGCTAACGTCAGGTACTGGCTCTGGCCGTGGGCGCCCGCACACAGGATCAGGCCTTTGCGGTCCATGGTGCTTGGGGGCACTGTTGCGAACATGTCTTCTTACAAGACTGCCTGACTGTCTCACCTCATGTTTGAAACCATGGCGATGGTTATTGAACCAAATTGAACATTTTTTTGTGTGCCGAAGATCGGAGACTTCACTTGCCAGTCCTGTCGCACGCCACAACACCTTCCTGGCGGTCACGATCCAAGCAGGTGAGTGTTCTCGGTGCATATCTAGGCTTTTGCAGAAGGTCTGATACTTTTTGCCATTTCGTTTGTCATGCTTCAATTCCTCGAGTGAAACTCAAGAACGTCATCACGAAGAAGTAAAGCAGGAGATGGACCACACCCCTAGCTCCCTAACGTCGCTCCTGCGTGCCCTTCCAATGTTACACCACGCAGCAAACGATGTTTGGGTGCCAGGGTGTTGAACCAATTTGTTTGCTCGAGTCCAGCTAACCCATAACGAGGCCCAACAACTGGAGGTTCTGGCGCAGGGGAATGCATATTTTGTCCACCCACGGTACGGAGTTCGCCTGGTAGTAACAGGTGCCACGCTAGTAGTAACAGGTGCCTTACTAGTAGTAACAAGAAGCTACTAGGAACAAGTGCATCGCTAGTAGTAACAGGTGCCACGCTAGACAAACATAGCATAGCTAAGCGAACGAAGGCCTTAACTCTGCACTGGGGGAACGAGACTACACCTCGGCCATCACAGCAGGTTGTGGAGGTGGAAGGCGAGTCCTGTTTGTGCAGCCTTCATTTTTGCAACTCAAAGGAGGTTGACGCTTTTGCTGTGCTTGATTGTCTATTAGCTCTTAGACTTGTCTCACAAAAAAAGCCTCTCATTGGACTATCATTGGACCTTTTTTGCAACTTGCTTCTTGTAAATTGTAAGCCAACAGAGGCCACTGTGGGGTCTATCCAAGCAACCGCTTGAAGGCAGAGAAGATGTCGCAGATGGAAAGGCAGATTTGCCAAGGTGCCTCTTCAAAAAGTAGGAATGGGTCCTTGGTAGGGTTTCAATCCTTGTTTCAATGATTGATTGTAAAACCCTACCAAGGGCTTTCACAAGTTATATAAATCTCACCTAGGACAATGAGTCAATTGATTGTTAAGACTCATTTGACTTTCTCGAGTCTCCTCGAGCTTTTGTGCCCGAGCCAGGCGCAGATCGCCCTTGCTGGAGAAGCGCTGGACGGTCTCTTGGCTCCTGATTTGAGCGTGCTTTCTGTTTGCATTTCTTGGCCGGACTTGCCAAACAAGTCTATCGATGTTGCTAGGGGAAGATCTGAAGTCTTTGTTTTGGAAGTTTTCCAACTGATTTTGGATTCTTTTCTTTAAAGGGTGGGTAGTCCGTGAAGAGGTAGTAGCTAGGTAGCTTAAGTAAGCTTCTAGGGTCCATGGAGGCAGGAGAGCGCTCGCACGTCTTCAGGCGGTGGAGAACCAACGAATGGCTCCCAGGAGCGAACTCGATCGACTGGAGCACATCGATCCTGATGTCGATGAGGCACCAAAAAACATTGTTTTTTGGCACCACAAAAATGACAACTCTGGGCGACTGAAACTGGATTGCCTTCTGATTATCCACGAACTGGTTTGGCTTCCTGTTTCTGTGACAAAACTTGAGGCGAATGCCATGCTCGTGGAGTCCTTCTTGAATGTCAAGCGGTCTTTGGGCGCGGAGATGAATGAGGCTTTTGCCTGCAAGTTGGGCTGATGCTGGTGGAGACTGGGAGATCCATTGTGGCAGGCCACCTCGCAGTGTTCGCAGACCATCCCATCTGCGTTTGGGAACCTGGGTGAAGCACACGCAAAACACAGAAGAGCGGAGCTCAAGCGGAGCTCAGAGGAGCTCCGAGTACTTTTGGCTGCTGATCAGATAGTCTGTTTGAGATGGCTCCAATATGCAGGCATCATGTGGCATGCGCTTGCACTGCAGCTGATGTAAGGTCCAGCTACTTCATCTCCAAGCCGCATGGCACCACACCTCGTGCAGGCCAGGAATTGCTGAGAGCACAAAGAAACAGGGCCCAGTCATAAGATCTTGGCTCAAGCCCACGTTTTGGAGTGTCTAGATATGCTGATGTGACAAGGGTGGATCACGATGCTGATGCCGTGGAACAATGTGGTGTTCTGGTTGTTGTCATGGGCACCCATGTATGCTCTTCTAGAACTTCTAGATGTTGTTTGGGAGCAAGCTCGTTGCTGATCTTGCCGTCTTGTGCTTGCTGCCAGGCCAAGGCAACCAAGGGGGCTTGCAGCAGGCAGGCTACCAGGCACATATGGGGGAAATGGACAAGAACTGGACTGCACGTAAGTTACTTGGGCACCTGAACGAAGGTGTGCGAGCGTTCAAAACATTGTGTTCAAAAGAGAAGACATGACCGGCACTGCCTTTGCAGGTCTTGACAAGCTTGCCGGTGCCTCCACTTAGTGCGAGGAACACCTCAGCTTTGGGAAGCGCATACTCCTGCGCAACTGATCTCAGTAGTAGTGTTCCAGTAAGATAAGTGTACTTCGGCGGTGCAACCAATAACTAACGTCTTGGCGTGCATGGTATAGTTGTCTCATGTTGTTTTCAACGAAGAATTTATTCTTCAAAGCACATGTGTTGGAATGGCACCAGCTGATTTAGATCGAAGCAGGTCCAATCGTGGATGACATGTTTCACTCACAAAACTTGTAGAGGGCATTCTAGTATGCCTTTGTAGCTTAAGGTCCCACAACATCCCACAACAACATCTCGTTTGATCGTCATGAGCACACTCCTCTGATGTGTGCAATGCCCTTTTTCATCGTCTCGCTCGCCAAACTTGGTGGCATGACGCCAGCAGATGTGAGATGCATCTATAAAAACAAGTGAGCCTGTGCTTCCTGCTGATGTGACTATTGGATTCAAGCGACCATGTAAAGTTTGCCTGGCTTCATAGCCTGACCCTGCGACAAACCCTGGTTTTCACATGTTTTCACCAGAGTTGTTGCTTTGTTGGCTCAAAGGAACCAAGACTTGCATGATGAAGTTGGATTCTTGTCCGACCCCACTCCTTCCCTTGAGGGGAAGCAACCATTTCCAGCACACAAAAAGCAACCCAAAGCACCACGTTCAACCTTGAAGATGGCCTCAATGACTGAAAGTTCAGCCCCAGACGTTCGACTGTGCCCTCTTTGTTCTCTGTGCGTGCACTCGTCCGGGCGCTTGACCGTGCGGTCATGGAGCAGGTGAATCGCCTGCCTCGGCCCAAGGCGTGGCATTCGGTCATTTGGGATGTCGTCCCGTTTAACACCCAAATGAATTGATCAACCGCGAAAATCTCAAAATCTAAACAAGTCTTCTGTTTTTCTTGCTTTGCAAACCCACCGAAGCGGTGAAGACCGAAGGGGTGCCATGACTGCACAGGATCCTGCGGCTCTGGAGCGCCTGGCAGAGGCTCAGCAGCTGCTGTGCGCGCGTGCTGTGAGTGAAGAGGCGGGCTGTGGTCATGAGCTGCGTTGGTGCAACTTTAGAACAGGTCGCTCAAGCCCAACGCAGCTTTTCTACGACTGCAGCAAGGTAAATGCCTAGCTTGTTGTTGTTGTTGTGGTGGTTGTGGTTGTGGTTGTGGTTGTGGCTGTGGCTGTGGCTGTGGCTGTGGCTGTGGCTGTGGCTGTTGGTGTTGTTGTTGTTGTTGTTGTTGTTTCTTGCTGCTTCGAAGAGTCTTCCGTGTGGCACAAAGCTTTGAAGAGTCTTGGCACCACCTCAGCCCACAACTGGCGAGCTGATTTGGTGGCCACCATGCACAACCTCAAACCATGTGATCCAGGACTGTCAGCATGCTGTCGACCTGCTGCTGGAGCTGGCACGGCCTGTGGAGGACTGGCTTGCCGGCTTATTGCTGAGATCCAGTTTGGTATTGATAGCAACATGCCAAAAGGGTTGAGGTTGGGAAAGAGATGCCAACTGCACCAGAGACGACAGGAGGATGGCTTTGGCTACAGCCCAGCGCTGTTGACCTTGGCCTCTCTCTATGAGTCGGGCTACGAGCCAGCCATCCAGCAGGATGCTGTGCAAGCTGCTAGGCACACGCACACACACAATGAATGGGATTGATAATGCAATTGATTGTTGCATGTGCTTATGCGTTCATTGCAGGCCAGTGAGGGTTGTGGTTACTAAAGACAAGGAAGGTATTTCTTCTATGCAGTTCTTTTCAGTTTCCTTGAAAGGTTTTGGGTAAGCAAATCATTTCAAGATCCCATTTTTTTACCCAGTTGCTGTTACTGCAAGGTGTGTTTGAACGTTCTGCAAAGAACACTGTACAGTAGCAGGTGTATCCGTGGCCGTTCTATCAACCACGAGGGTGTCCTGTGGCCAGGTACTACATCTCCTTGCTTGAAGTTCAGATCACATCCCCCAGCCTCAGCCGTGATTTGCTGGAAGAGGCGCCAGGGCTTCCAACCTACTAGCAATGGCTTCCAACCTACTATGGCCTCCAACCTTCCGGCGATGGCCTCCAACCTACTAGCGATGGTCTCCAACCTATAAGCGATGGCCTCCAACCTACTAGCCATGGCCTCCATCCTTATAAGCGATGACCTCCAACCCAATAGCGATGGCCTCCAACCAACTAGCTATTTGGATCTTTTTGGGATTTGCAACTCCCCTCTTTCATTGGTTCATTGTGTGTCTCACTGGCAGAAAAAGCCAGCAAGAAGGCTAATGTCCGATTGATTTGTTTGATGAGGTGAACACAGGTGAACGCACTCCCGTTTTGTAGCCAAACCGGTGTGCTTGCGAGGCTGCGACGCACCTCTGCAGCTTAGCCAAGGATCCATCCTGCAACTTGCCGGACAACGAGGTCCGCCGTTTGGAAGCTCTGGCGGCTGAGGAGCGATCGACCTGCACATTTTGCGGTCAATGTCGCATTTTGAAGAACAGAACAGCCTGTGAGGATGGGCAGCCCAGCAGCGCCTGGTTGACCTTTGCCGCTGCGGAGGCGCGGCGCAGGTGGACCGAGGCCAATGAAGACCCTGAGGCGCGATCAAGGGAGAATCAGCACATATGTGCACTGAGATATTTTGGACCCAAGCATTTTCAATCATTTTTCAACATATATATATATATGATTATATAATGTTTCAGGTTTGAAGCAACCGTGTCGAAGACGAATTGTTTGAAGAACCTGGAGTTTGAGTGTGTCCGGCTTGGCTTGCCTCCTTTTTGTTGCTTGGAGAGGTGCGGAAGCGGCGGCAGCAACGGGAAGCGCAAAAGGCTGAGCAGCGGCAGCGGATGTTGACCGAGCAGCGGCAGAGGGCGCAACAGGCGCTGAGCGAAGCAGAGGAATTAAGGCCGAAGTGGGATGATGCTAGTGGAGCATTCTGTTAGTGATGACAGTTCTAGTCGGACGAGTCGGACGATGGAAGACTCATCAAGAAGTACGGCAAAAAGCCAGAAGCCAGAGAAGTTCTTCGAACTGGAGCCGCTCCCACTGCAGGCTGCAAGGCAATGATGTGTGCCGTCAGGGTCAGCTGCCGGGCAACGCTGCAGCACAGCAGCTTCTGTTGCAGGAGTGGATTGGAAGTGTCGTGCTTTCGTGGAAGATGGTGCCAAAAAACATCAGTAGTGAGGGAGCACAAGACGACGACGACAATGTTTTCTTCTGTGGTGTTGCAGCACATCCGTGAACCACGATGCATCACTTGGCGAGGCAGTCGCACTTTACGACCAGGCAGTGGAGGTGCTTTCAAGGTGCCTCGTGTAAAGACACCGACACCGCTGCCAACAATGCCGCCGGTGGTGTTTGTGTGCGGGGTTGATGAGAGCAAGCAAATATGTAGTGGCATGAACCAATACAGTAATTGCACGTAATTACAGTTGACTTCGAGATGCTCAGCTTGCCAAGCCTTGCCCGAGCTCTGCACGGGCTGCCAGGTGCTTAGAGCAATCGCTCCCTGCAGAGGAGTCTTCAGAGCTGCGCAAGCAACGGGCCTTGCTCCGCTCCAACTCTGCTCAGGTGTGAGAAGCGAGAACTGGGCCAGTGCAGTGATGAAGATAGCTGTTGTTTAGAGTAGAAAATTGGAGAACTGGTATCCAAATTACATTTGCAACAGCAATGCCACTGACATTCTATGCAATTCTTGCGGTTGGTTTCATCTGACATGGTTGCTTCCACAATGTACCGGTAGGAAAGGGTATACTGTATACTTGCATACTTGTGTGACTGTGGTCTTGCGTCTGTTTGGTGAGTGTAGGACCTATGTCATGTTTGTTAATTGCAAACCAAGTGATCAAACTCATCCCTTTCTGTACCGCTTGAGATGTAGCGCTTCGCTTCGTTGGGACATAGCGAGGTGGAGTTGTCAGCTGAACGCTGGGCTCAAGCAGCGAAGCTGGCGGAGCTGTCCCTGAAGGACCAGTGGAAGCTCATTCGGAATTCTGCGTGTTCTGTGAATTGTCTCTTCTTGAACAAGTAATTCTTTTCTTTGTGGGTTAGAATGGGAACAAAGGCAAACCGTGTCATGTTGCCGTCAAAGTTTTCACTTGTGGCATGCCGATGTCTGCGTAGGACGAACCCACCTCGGTGAAGACCCGTTACCGCCTGGCCAAAGCACAGCTGGGTCAAGGCGAATGGGCCGCTGCCGCGGAAACCGTGGACCAAGCACTGCTGGCGCTCAAAGGTCGGGAGACGCGCACTGATGCTCCAACGTATTCGTTAGAGGGGAACAAGGGGAAACTGAAACAAGGAAAGCTCTGGGACAAGCAATGACGCTACTAGTAGCTCCTTGCATCGCTACTAGTGACAAAAGTCTGAAAGATCCTGAAAGCCTTGAGAGGATTGACAGTTAGGATCTCTGGGATCAGCTTCAAGTTGTCGGTTCCATTCTGCCAGCTGGTGAGGACAAGCTGCCAGTGAGCGCGAAGCCTTCACAGTGGAACTGTGGAAGCTGGCGGAGGAAGTCACTGCAAAGCTGCCAGACTGGCGTTGGTCTGCCTCCAAACCGGAGAAGAGAACGGCCCAGGAGCTGCTGCGAAAAGGAAAAGTGAGACAGGGAGATGGCTGAGATGAGATGGGTTCTAGAACAAGAGTTTGGACGCTACGAACGGGGCTCCTGGCCTTACTACTAGGAGCAAGGACGTTACTAGGGGCTCCTGGCATCGCTACTAGTAACAAGAAGCTAGTTTCACTTTCGAACCTTCACCCATTGGTTTTGGAGGACTCCCCCTGACTTGGTTGCTTTCAGGATGACTACGAGAAGCGAATCGTGGGCTGGTGGGAGTATCCGGGGAGCAGCTTTGAAATCCGTTTGGAGCCTTGGGGTGCTCTGGTCTTCCATGAGGACACCGTGAAAATTGAGCTGATGAAGAAGGGCAAGTTGAGGTGGCGAGGTGAAGTAGAGCTGATCTCCGGCATGGTACTGAACCTATCCTTCGAACCTGGGAGTGATGTCTTGGTTTTAGAATTCATCCCACCACCGGAAGCTCGGATGTGAGGTCTGCAAGGTTTTCTTTCATGCTTCATTTAACCATACATCTCCATGCAAATATATATATAATTATATATATATATAATCCTTTGATCCTGCTGCAACATGCTGCAACATTGTTGTGACACGAACTCCAAGGAAATGCCCGAGAAAGATCAATGGAGTGGTCCGAAGAGGTTCACCGCAAAGCGCAAGGCAGTGTCAAAACAGGAGGCTGCAGACCAGCAGGATACTTGTCCTTCTAGCCTCTGAGGCTGTAGGTGTGTTGTGTTTCTTGGACACGCTTTTGGAACAGTTTCTTCTCAGCTGTTCTGAGGAGCAACTTCCAACACCAGAGCTGGCGCCCGAACCGGCGCCGGAGCCGGCACCGGGCCACGATGAGGCTGTGCTGTCACAGGTCGATGAGTCGAAGGAAGAGGATGTGGCGGCCATCTTGGCTGCAGCCCCGAAAGAGGCTGGAAGATCTGGAAGATCATCGTCTCAATGGCTTACCGCCAAACTCATACTTGTATGTCCAAAAACTGGATTCAGTCACTAGATATTCAGTGAAGAGGTCCACGTCAAATCCCAGTGGAGGTCTGCTTGGGCGGCTACCCTAGCGTGGCTGGCCATTACATCCTGCAACCAGAGCCAAAGAATGGACGTCCTGTATATTGCCGTTCTGAGCCTTGCTGCAGAATTTAGCTGAACTCTACATACCTATATCATATATCCTAGTGGGACAAGGCTGGATCTGGATGTTTGCATCAGTCTGATTTTGCCCAATGACGTGGGAATAGTAGGTTTCACAGAGTAGTGGCCAACGAATGTGCTTCAACTTGACATCAGACCTCAATGGGCTTCTCGTATTTCCAAGTCACCAAGTCAACGTGGTCCCTTCGCTTCAGGATGGTCCTCAGGGCGATCAATTCCTTTGGTTTAGAGGCGCGGTCTGTGTCACCGACCCTCGTGAGCAAAGCGGTCCATCGGCGAGTATACACAACTTAATAGGTTGCCATTCAAGATATATATATATATTATATATATATATACTGTAGCGATAGTAAGGTGGAACTGAAGAATGTCAAGCACATGGACCTTAAACTCAATGAGATAAAACACATCCTGCACACCGATGTTACTCACATGTATGACCGCTGATTCCTCAGGTGGAAACTGGGGCGTCACAGACTCGCTCAAGGCATCGGCTCTGGCTGCTCCTTGGCAGGTTCGCTGTGCTGACGCGGCCTTGCAGCCATTGCAGCTTCGGCGGCGGTCCAAATGGTATGCGCGCTCAGGGAAGAACCAGGAGGAGATCACGTGGGGTGCCAAATTGCAAATGCAAACGACTGACCCTAAATCGTCCATCGTCAAGCACAGAGCTAGCAAAGCAAGGAGTGCTGGTGGATTATAGTGCAGTGCAAAGTGTTGGATAGTACAATTTATAATTATGTTGCTTTTGAACTTTGCTCCAGACTTTAGCTCCAAGAACTAAGCACTGTCAGTGATTTACATGCAAGAACAGCCTGTGGAACCTTCGCGTGGACAGACCTCCGTGAAACAATTTCCTCCTCTACGGCTGAACCGTTTGGTTATGGGAATCGCAACTGAATGTACCGCCTAGTAGTATGCTTTGTTCAATGTCATCAGCATTTTCAGCGTTGCCGGTCCCCCTTCTGCCTGGCCAGAGATGGACTCAGTTGCAGGAGCTTGTTCCACACCTTGCTGTTTCTTTGGTGTTAGAGCCAGAGCCTTCCATGGATCCTGCTGAGACTTCCAAAGATCAAGGCCTTCTGTTTTTGGGAGTTGGCAGGAGGAAGCATTGTAAACATCGTAGTGATGTGACATGGTTGCTGACAAAGGACAATGGCTTTTCTTTGTGCTTTCCATCTGGAGTCTTTGTGGGAGGCACCACTTCAGCTAACAATCTGCCATCATGGGTGGCCGAGACTGCTGTGGATGTGGAAGACAAAGAGCTTCGAGTCAATGTGGTCTTTCCGCCTGACCTCTCTGTAAGCCTGGCATCCTTGGACATGTCCGCCTCAGAGGGAGACTTGGACATTTGTTTTCCACTCCTTTTGAAGTTGATTACCCTCCAGACCACAGACCAAGATCTGCAATCAGCCGATTTCAAGGCAGGTGCTGTCTTTTTGGCCCGTCGTGTGTACCGTTAGTGCGAGCGCTTCTTCAATAGGAATCTCCCCCCAAGCTTCCTTGAAGAAGCGTGAGCTATCCTGCGTCCAGTTACTGGAAGCTAACTAGTAGCTAGTAGCTTACTAGAGTCCCTTACTTAATCAAGTAGGCGCCTACTTAATTAAGGAGGGAGGGGGGGAGCGGGCTAAAATGAAGTCATCTGAGGCAGTCTTTGTTTGGAGTTGCGCCATAGCGGCTCTTTGGAGATCCCTCTACCTGTGAAGCTCTCGGAGGAACAGCGAGAGGCCCCAAAGGCCAAGTGGTCCGAAAAGACGCGGACCCTGAAAGTGCGCTTCGTGCGGAACCCAAGACCGTTGACATATTGACGTGCATAGAATTGCATATAACAATTATAATATATATATATATATATTTAGGTGCATCTTGGAAAGCCTTCAACAAACACGTTGAGACATGTTTGTGTCTTTAATATGTCTATCCACCAAGTATTAGCTGACACTAGCTGATCAGTCGGTTTCGGCCTATCAAAGATGTGAAGTTCATCAGACCGGGGCATCTGAGACCTGCGGTCTGTGCTTTGGCCCACCTAGGTGCTTGACTGACTCCGAGTGAAGGTGTCACAAGAGACACCGATGATGTGGCAGATCTCCATTCATTTTCCGAGAATTCGTTTTTTGCAGGCAATTTCATGTCACCTCTGGAAGGAGACAAAGTAGTTTGACAGAATTGGAATTCACAGAAACCAGACTTTTCTTTGCAAAAAGGGTCTTCGCTCTTCTTCCTTGCTTGAGACGCAGCTATTGATTTCTTCTGGTGCTGGAAACACGCTAAGGTTTGGGACTAATTCGAAGCCATTTCATGAGACTGATCCAAAACCTGTGTATGAGCGGGCCATATCAATTCAGGAGGCATACCTTGGCCCAGTGGACTCGAGAATTCGGAATGTGCCTCGTGCACCACCCCCATTGCGTCGCCATGGCTCATGCACCATCTCCGACCTCTGGTGCGTTTCAAAGCACTTAAAACCCCTTTTCCATCTCCTCAGGCGTGAACAGTAAAGTCGATCTCCTCAGTTCTCCCCAGACCATTTTTGCAGGTCTGCCGCTTCCTGATGGCTGAGGCCCGGAATTTCAAGTGAGATCGTCACCTAAATGGTTTCACATGAGTTCGGTAGGTATCCCAGTATTATCCCAGTCATAGATAGACTATGGCTATGATAGAGCATGACAGGGTGTCAGTTCAGCTTTCCTGATGTCTTGCGGTTGTCAGTTGCGATGTCTTGCCGACTCCTACACAGCGAGAGGCTGCACGAAGTTATACTCCGCACCGCTCGCAGGAGCGATCCTCGCTGGCCGAAACGCGGATCTTGGCTGAATGGGTGGATCATCGTCATTTCGAGGACAGATGCACCAAGGGATTTTGAGGACAGTTGCTGTAGGTCAACGCCAAAGAAAAACGGTCTCTGTTGGCTTCAAGGCAAAATCGAGCTGTTGCCTGTTTGCTGCAGGAAATCGACTCCACACAAAGCTTCATCGAGAGGGAGCATGAGTCCTTCAATCAGGAACTTTTGCTTCTTTGTGACAAATGCCAAAGAAAGCAGATGGGTGAGCAAACAGACATAATTACACGTGAAAGGCTGAACAAGAAGATTCGGGACCAACTTGGACCTGAAATAGGGGCTTTATTATTGTTCCTAGTTGTTGTTTCACGCTAGGATGTCGTATACATGTCTCACTTACCTACCGTTTGGCTCAAGGAAAACCAGGTGCGACTTGTTGGTAGTTCTCGGTCGTTTACCTGTATCTACAGGTTATCAGCCGTATCGCCATAAGTGCGGTACGTGCTTCCTACTAGCTGTGGTCTCACCCCACCCTAGGTAGTGCACTATCTAGAGGCCATGGCTGATGATGATGGTTCCCGTGGTGACCGCTCACGCTCAGGCTACGTTCCTACTTCGCCTGCGATGTCCAGTTCACCTGCTGCTGATCTCCCTGTCGTTCCGCTGGAGTTGCGTGTACCAATTGCGCCACCGACGTTCAGTGCACAGGGGGACCTGTTGCCTAGTGGTCAAGCACCGTCGCCGTTTCAACCTGAGTTTTCTCCTGTGATGAAAGTCCAGAACGTTGATGCAAGACAGATCCATCAACAAGCAGTCTTCGTCAATGAGGACAGGTCAGCACAGGTAGCTCAGATTGCAGAGTTGCGGCATCAGGCCATTTTGGCCGAGCACGGGCAACAAGTAGCTGAGGATGCTAGGCATTTTAGAGACTTAGTGGAGAACCAAGCTAAAGTGGCTGTCCAGGAGTCTAGGGAACAAATTGAGGCTTTAGCCAATCAACGACTGAGTGACATGAACCAAGCCCATCAAAATCAACATCTTCATGAACAACGGGCTTACCTAGATCGCCTTTCGCTCGAACGACACGCCGTCGTTGAGAACGAACGCGCCTCTGCCAAGCAAAGAGAGGATGCACTTCGGTCAGAGTTAGCAGAACAGAGTCGAATCATCAAGGAGTTGAGAGAGAGGTTTGACAACGCCTCGGGGAACCGAGCGCCTGCACCATCAGTGCAGCCACTTGGGTCTCAGGTGTCCCCAGCTCTGCCTCCAGCGAGCCTTCGCACTCAGTTGGAGAAGCCCGGGATCGAAGGCGGTGATGAGCCTCATCCATCCGATGCTGATGAAGAGGGTGGTGACAAATCAAAGAAAGACAAGAAGAAGAAAGGTAGGGATAAGAAGAAAGAAAAGAGCCCTAAGAGGGGCCGCTCGAGGGAGCGCAGAAAGAAACGCTCTCCTTCCCCATCACCATCGTCACCCAGTTCATCAGGAGGGAGTGATGACTCAAACGACTCAAGCTCTGAATCATCGCGTCTTGCACGCATCATTCGCAAAGAGCTGAAGAAGCAGCAAAGGAAGTCGAAAGACAAGGATCATGAGAGTAAAGCCAAAGAAGCTGACAAAATTCTCATTCCCAAGTTCCCCACACCTGAGAAGTACAGAGATTGGAAGATCAAGGTGAGGGACAATATTGCTGCAGCTTCAGCGAAGCCGGATGAGGCGAGATCTTGGGCAGGGAAAGTATACAAAGATTCCCAAACCATTGATGCCTTGGATGATTCAGAGGGATTTGCAACCCTCGACGCAAAGCTTCTTGCAAGCTTGACCAATTGCGCTGAGGGGGACCTCGGTCGGCAGATTGCTACATTCAAGGAGTTGCGTGCTCGTGAAGACAAGAACGTGAAGGGTAGACACTTGCTCCTTCGGTTCCACGAGTATTTTGCCACAAGCATCAAGCATGGAGCAATCTACGGGCTCGAAGACCTCATGTCCGTCAAAATGGTCAACGATGACCTCAAGGGCTTTATAAATAAATGGGATAGCGTTCTTGCCGGGATGAAAAAGGAACCAGAAAACAGTGTTCTGGAAGCCTATTTCCACCTGGCAGTGAAACGTTTCAAGCCGCTTGAGCATGATTTGGCCTTGTACGACCGTGCAGCCGATGGAAGCAAAGAAAGAACATACGACTTCCCGATTACTGCTGCCCGGGCCTACCTCGAATGGAAGAGGTTGGAAAAGATGCGCGACGCCACGAAGCGTTCGCTCGGGTCCAAAGACACAACCATGCCAGCTCCGGAGGAGAAGAAAGGCATCTGCTACGAGTTTCAAAAGACCGGAAAATGCAAGCGCGGATCATCATGTCCTTACAAGCACGAAAAAGGCCGCGAGAAAAGCAAAGGAAAGGGAAAGGGTAAGGATCGCAGCCAATCTCGGTCAAGATCGCTGACACCAGGATCTCGCAAGGAGACTTGCAAGTTTTGGAAAGCAGGGCATTGCCACCGAGGAAAAGACTGCGCATTCCAACACCCTGAAAAGACTGTCCCTGCGAAGAAAGAGGACAAAAAGAAGAAGAAGAAAGACAAGAAACCTCGCAAGCGAAGCAGCTCACGAGGATCATCAGGCTCCGAAAACTCAACTGGCTCTGAGAGTCAGAGGAGAAAAGGTGGGAAGTCTTCTTCTTCCAATGCACCGGCAGCGGTATGCCTCCTTCGAGCAGTGGTCATGGCCGCAGTGGTCTCTCAGGGATCCTCCGTCCTCATCACTCGCCCGCTGGGAAGCGTGGCCATGCCAGTCCTTTCCGCATCAAACACTATGTGCACCGATTTTGACAACGCAGAAAACATTGACAGTTTTGTTACGCAAAGAGTTCGTTTTGACGATCAACCAAACGTTTTCAATCATGCTGTTGAGTCTTCTTCCAGTTGGAGATCCGTACAACCCCGGAGTAAGAAGAAACGGAGACCCTTTACACCAGGTCGACCGGAGCATGCTGAGGCAGTTCGCGTCGCTACTGAGGACGCATCCATTGCAGCATCACACCTTCAGAATGCTGTCAGGAACGAACTGTTGTCCTTGCCGGCAGAATGTTCGTACCTGTGCAACTCTGATATAGGTTGCATCAAGTGTTTTGAGAGGAGGTCATGTCCAACAGTGCCCGCCACTGAGATTGCATGGATTGCAGATACTGGGAGCGCACACGATCTTGTATCTAGACACATGCTACATTCGGATGAAGTGTCACAATCGTCCAAACCGGTCAGTCTTCTTACTGCCAACGGAGTCTTTCAAGCCACTGACCAAGCCAGAGTCAATGTCCCCGTGTTGGGAGCTGACATCAATCCATACGTCTTGGAAGATAGCCCAGCCGTCGTATCGGTAGGACAACGCTGCATCGACGCAGGATGGAGCTTCCATTGGCCCGCTTACAGTAGGCCGTACTTCAAGAAACCAGACGGAACCAAAGTCAAACTTGAAGTGGAGGATTATGTACCATACTTGCCATCAACCACTGGTGTTGCAATGTCCGCCATAGGTCAACCTTACGGTACGAACGATCGGTCCAGGGCACTGCGACCAATGATCCCCCTGCCCGCGTCGCCGGCTGAAGAGGCAATTGAGGTCCAGGACGATGAGGACAACCCCATCGGCGAGGATCCTGTTGAAGATGATCCCGAGCCAGTGGATGAAAGGTTGGTGGAGAAGCCGTTGGACCCGAAGAGGGATAGGGGAGAGAAAGCTCTCAAGGAAGAAGCGCAATCCATTCAACATCTGTTGACTCATACCCCAAAGAACCCCTTTTGTCAAGCCTGCTCGAGAGCAAAGATGACCAAACGTCCATCGTATAGCAAGGGTGGTTCAACCCAGGTAGAGGCGGATCATTTCGGACAACATTTGACTGCTGACCATCTTGTCATTCGTGACGATGAGGAAATGGACATCGATGGGGCTCGCGTCGCATTGGTCGTGAAAGATGTGGCAACGGATTTCAGATATGTCTATCCGGCCGCACGTCGATCAACACGTGAATGCATAGCAGCCTTCAAGCATTTTGTCCGTTCGACTGATGATGTAGGAGTATTTTATTCCGACAATTCACCAGAACTCATCGCGACTGCCGAAAGGCTAGGATGGAGGCATCAAACCAGCTTTGCATACGTCTCTAAGACCAATGCTATGGCCGAGAGATCGATTCGGTCTGTCATCGATGGAACAAGGGTAAACCTAGAGCAAGCTGGCCTACACCATCAATATTGGGCTCACGCTGCC